GAGTTTTTGGTTAAAAAAAAAGAAACAAACAAACAAAAAACATATATATATTTAAGTTAATCCAGGGAAGCCTGTCCGGTCTCTGACCTGTGCAGACCTTCTTCCTCACACACCCCATTACCTCACACTTCCATTACCTTCAGTCACTTTCCCCCAGTATTCTACACTGTTGCCCTTCCAGTTTCCAAAAATCCAGACAAAATTAATCATATATTAATTTTTTACACTCAAACATTGAAACAGTATCCCCTAAATTAGATGATTTTCCCAAATGTTTAAAACTGAACACCCATGTTTCCTCACCCTTGAAAAGACAAGCAGCCCTGAAAATGTGTGAAAGTCATTTCTTTTAAATTCACACCCTTCTCTCTAATCTCAAAGCTCAAGAAGTCTTTCCTAAATCAGGTCCCAATCTTCTGCCCTAGGCCCCAGAGATTACGTGGCACTTCCGTCTGTTGTCAGAAATAAAAAGGTCCCTGGGCTTTGGAGCCTCTTCAGGCTCAGTTTCTCAGCCCAGATTGTGCATCAGAACCACCTGGGACCCTCTGAACTCCTGGTGCTCAGGATCAACCTGGATGGTCACACTGGAATCTCTGAGAAGGGACTCTCAGGATGGTCACACCCTCTCTTGGGAGTGCCAGCCTGCAGCCTGGGCAGATCTAATCTAATCTAATCTAATCTAATCTAATCTAATCTAATCTAATCATCTAATCTAATCTAATATCTCCCACCTCCCAGGGGCTCAGTGAGGTGGTGCCGGACCAAGGTGCCCCTGGACTCAGTGTAGTTCATGGCAAAGCCCATAATACTCCTCTAAGGCAAGGATCTCAAACCAGACTAGTGTTAGAATCACCAGGGAACTTTTCACAACACAATGACCAGACCAGAATAATTAAATTTGAATGATTGGAATTGGCCTTTGAGAAAGTTTTCCAGCTGATTCCATTGTAGAGTCAGGACTGGAAAGCGGGCCTATGGCTGGATTCACCTGGAATCAAGAGCCACACTTTCACTGAATGCATAGGCCAGTGGGAGAGCTAGACTTGACCAGGGAGTTCTGTTGAAATGTACTGTGTCAAAGTTGAGGACAGGATGACAAGGTAACACCTGTGAGGAGTGCCAGGGTTGGAGAAGGCCCCCATGCCCAGGGTGACTGGGGCCTATGGGAGGAGTGGGCTTGTTTGGTGACTGGTGATGGGAGCAGGGCAATGAGCAGAAGCAGCAAAGGCCCTGAGGCCACACAGTGCCCAGTGTGTTCAGAAAATTGGATAAGGCTGGACCCCAGACAAACAGGGAAAATCAACTGGATCTGAAGCTGCCCCATGGCCATGGAATGAAGAGTGTCTTTTCCCTGAAAAGTCACAGAAACAGGCTTGGGTGCATACTGAGGACAAGATAAGCAGGGTCCCCATTAGAATGCAACAGCTGTTGTCCATGGAACTACATGATGCCTGCACTATTTTAATTTCAGCATGAATAAAAAGTCACTTAATGCTACATATTTAGAAAATAGGGTATCAGGCTGGGTGCAGTGGCTCACGCCTGTAATTTCAGCATTTTGGGAGGCTGAGGCGGGTGGATCACCTGAGGCCAGGAGTTCAACACCAGTCTGGCCAACAAGGTGAAATCCCATCTCTACTAGGAATACAAAAATAAACTGGGTGTGGTGGTACACGCCTGTAATCTCAGCTGCTAGGGAAGCTGAGGCAAGAGAATTGCTTGAACCCAGGAGGCAGACGTTGCAGTGAGCTGAGATCACACCACTGCACTCCAGCCTGGGCAACAAAGCAAGACTCCACCAAAAAAAAAAAAAAAAAGAGCCCGGGCGCAGTGGCTTGTGCCCATAATCTAAGCACTTTGGGAGGCCCAGGCAAGTGGATCACATGAGATTAGGAGTTCGAAACTAGCCTGACCAACATAGTGAAACCCCGTCTCTACTGAAAATACAAAAAATTAGCTGGGCGTGGTGGTAGGTGCCTGTAATCCCAGCTACCTGGGAGGCTGAGGCAGGAGAATCACATGAACCCAGGAGGCAGAGTTTGCAATGAGCTGAGATTGCACCATTGTACTCCAGCCTGGGCAACAAGAGCAAGACTCCGACTCAAAAAAAAAAAGAGAAAATAGGGTATCAATCATCATTTCTGTTTGAGAAGAAGCTGTCATTGAGAAGATGAAGAATTCAGGCATTATTTCTGCATTTCTGCTTTTGAAACAGCCTGGATGCAGTTGCCATTTACACCAAGGGAGAAGCCCTGGAGATGAGTTGAACTGGAGGTGATGATGTGGGTGAATACGCTGAGTGGAGGCTCCTGCTAGATGTAGCACTGAGGTGCCTAAAGTTTCTGTTTTCTTGCAGCAAGACAAAGGGCTCGAGCCTGGGAAAGAAGACGGTGTTCATTAGCATTTGGGGGAGAAGAAAGAATCACTTGGTCAGATTTTTGTCTCAGATGTCCCTGAGGCAGACTGGGGGTGTATTGGCCAGGCCCAAGGTGGGAAGCACAGAGAACAGTTCCCTGGGCACATGGGCATCAGGAAATGGAAGTCTGAAATCTGTCTGTGGAAGTGAAAAGAATGTGATATTTTTAGATGACATGGAAAGAAGCAAGGATTAGTTTTAAGCCAATACACATGCAGTTTGTTCTGACTTGACAAGGTGCCAGTAGGCCCAGCATGGTGGCTCACACCTGCAGTCTCAGCACTTTGGGAGGCCACGGCAGGAGAATTGCTTGAAACGAAGAGTTCACAACTAGCCTGGGCAATGTAGTAAGACCTTGTCTCTCTCTCTCTCTCTTTTTTTTTTTTCCACTAATGGTACAGCATTTTATCACCCAGTCAAGATCCTGTCCCTACCAAAAAAAAAAAAAAGAAGCCAAGCATGGTGGTACAAGCACCTGTTGTAATCCTAGCTACTTGAGAGGCTAAAGCAGTAGGATCACTTGAGCCCAGGAGTTCAAGGCTGGAGTAAACTATGATCATGTCGCTGTACCCCAGCCTGGGCAGCAGAGCAAGGCCCTGTCTCTAAAAATAAAAAATAAAATACCATTCACTGTGAAGCCCCCTTCCTGTCTTCCCAGACACTTCTCATGAGCTAAAAGCCATGAATCTTAAGATTGTATAGTGTAGAGTGGCATAAATCCCAAGAGTTAAGATTCATTCTGAGGGGCATCCCTAATCCTGGACTGCATCTGAGATTCTGAAGCCAAAAAACAAGCTAGGAGTTGTTTTCCTCACATGCTGGGTACTCAGCACCCTCCTTCTCGGTTCCCACCATCACTTACTTGCCCAAACTAGTTACTACTCTCTAATCTCCCACTCTGCCTCCTCACTTCTGTATATGCAAATCTCAAGTCTGTCCTCTTGTAAAGAGAAAGCTCTGTTCACCTCTCTTTTCCCCACCCTAAACTCTTCTTTTTAATCTAAGTTTCTCATAGAGGGTTCCACATCCATAACTGCCATTCATGACCACCCATTCACCCTCAACCAACTGAAGCCTAGCCTCTTCCCCTAATCCTCACATCACAATTAATCCTCAAAGGTCAAACCCTAAGGACATCGCTGAACATTCAGTGCCAACTCAGGGGGAAGGGGTGATTTATCTATAGGAATGTAACAACCCATCCCTTTGCGTTTGGAGATGTGGGTCTCAGAGACCCTTAGAACTCCTGCCAGTTGATTTCCAATTTCCCTGTTGCAGTTGTTTAATAAAATTCTAGTCTGGATGAAGGGATTTTGCCATTGTGATGAAAGTACGAAATTAGTTTATCTTTAGTTAATCCAAAGTCTCGGGTTGGGTGGGTCTAACTCAATCCCATTTAAGGTATTTAAACATGACCAGATCTGCATTTTTGGCTTCAGAGACCTCCAGAAGCTGAGAGAAATAAACACATTTCCACGCTCAGGTTCCTCCTGACTCTCCTAGGCTCCACTGGGACAGAGTAAGTGCCAGTGTTCCGCCAACCCAGGAACAGGCCCTGCAGGCGCAGTGAGAAGACTCCCAGGAGAAAACCCAGGAATAAAAATGGAAGTAAGTTGAAGGCAGCCCGCTTCCTGTTTCATGGGAGGATTGATGGGGTCGCCTTTCATTTCATCTCACAAGAATTTTTGCAGTCATTGACATGTGTGCTTTTCTTTACAAAAAATTTTTGGTTTTGAGACAGAGTCTGGCTCTGTCACCCAGGCTGGAGTGCAGTGGTGCAGACTCGGCTCACTGAAACCTCCAGCTTCCTGGTTCTTGCAATTCTCCTGCCCCAGCCTCTCTAGTAGCTGGGACTACAGGCGCACACTGCGACGCCCGGCTACATTTTTTTTGTATTTTTAGTAGAGACGGGGTTTCACCGTGTTGCCCAGTCTGGTCTCGAACTCCTGAGCTCAGGCATTCTGCCTACCTCGGCCTTCCAAAGTTCTGGGATTATAGGCATGAGCCACCGTGCCCGGCCTATAAATATTAACTTATTTAATACTCATGGTAAGTCTGATGGAAAGTGTTACTACTATGTTCACTTTACGGTGAAGGAAACGAACCCCCAACATGGCTAACTCCCTTGAACAAGGGACCCATTGGTGTAACTTTCAGAGCCAGGAAAAAGCAGCACTTTGACCCTGAGCCCACGACCTTCGCAAGCTGCTCTAGCTGCCTCTTTATAGTTTATCTATTCACAAGTTCCTGATTTTTTTTTTTTTTTTGAGACGGAGTCTTACTCTGTTGCCAAGTTGGAGTGCAGTGGCACAATCATGGCTTACTGCAACCTCTGCCTGGGTTCAAGTGATTCTTCCGCCTCAGCCTCCCAAGTAGCTGGGACCACAGGGGCGTGCCACCACGCCTGGCTAATTTTTGCATTTTTAGTAGAGACAGGGTTTCACCATGGCCAGGATGGTCTTGATCTCTTGACCTCGTGATCAGCCCACCTCGGCCTCCCAAAGTGCTAGGATTATAGGCGTGAGCCACTGCGCCCGGCAAGTTCCTGATTTTAATGGGGCTGTATATCTGCTTTGAGAGTTCACCTTCAGAAGTTCCGTTTAGATCCTGTATTTTCTGATCTTGTCTTACGTGGCTGTTTTGAAGTCTTGCTCCACTGATTCCACCATCAGTGTCATTTCTGGGTCTACAGATGGATTTTCTACCAGTGGTAAATCGGGTTTCTCTGTTTTGTCGTGCACCAGGTCATTTTATGTAGGAGGCCAGCACTGTGCATATTACATGATTAGGTGCCAGATACTTCATCCTCCTTTAACTAATGTTGGATTTTCTTTGTCATGCAATTAAATAACTTGGAATTAGATTATGCTTTGGGGGATCATTTTGAATCTTTTTAGTTGGGATGGGAAGAAACTTCAGTCTGAATAATTTGACCCCACTGCTGAGGAACTACCCGCCTAGTACTCTCTTTAAAGCCCCTTGGACTAGAGGGACTTTTTTTTTTTTTTTTTGAGATGGAGTCTTGGTCTGTAGCCCAGGCTGGAGTGCAGTGGTGCAATCTCAACTCACTGCAATCTCTGCCTCCCTGGTCCCGGTTCAAGATATTCTCCTACCTAAGCCTACCAGGTAGTTGGGATTACAGGCACAAGCCACGATGCCCAGCTAATTTTTGTAGTTTTTAGTAGAGACGGGGTTTCACCATGAACTCCTGACTTCATGATCCACCCATCTCGTCCTCCCAAAGTGCTGGGATTACAGGCTCCAGCCACCCCACCCAGCCTGACAGTTTACTTTTTAAATGTAAGGGGGGCTGGGTACAGTGGCTCACACCTGTAATCCCAGTACTTTGGGAGGCCAAGGCAGGCAGGTCACTTGAGGTCAGGGGTTCGAGACCAGCCTAACCAACATGGTGAAACACTGTCTCTACTAAAAATACACAAAAAATTACCAGGCATGATAGTGCATGCCTGTAATCACAGCTACTCAGAAGGCTGAAGCAGGAGAATCACTTGAATGCAGGAAGTGGAAGTTGCAGTGAGCTGAGATTATGCCACTGCCCTCCAGCCTAACTACAGAGTGAAATTCTGTCTCTAAATAAATAAATAAATAAATAAATGAAAGAAAAAGAAAAGAAATTCTAACATAAATATTTATTTTTTTTAAATTAGAAAGTGACACTTCAGACTGAAACTACCAAAAACATCCAGAAAACGAAGCAGGAAAAAGCAGCCCAGGAACCAGAAAAGCCCTCAGGTACAGTGTCCTCAGAGTCTTATTTGTAGCAGAGAAAAATTTCCAGCCCACCTCCATCTTCTCAAGTCTGATGTACTCATCCCAGCCCCAAGAGGAGGGCATCTCAGGAGATTCCAGGGCTGCCCTTAGCATCCCGGGAGCTCCTTGCCCCTGCCCACAGCCCAGGTGAGCATAAAAGGCCCCACCACGGGTGGGATGTGAGTCCCACATCAGAGAAGCTCATAGGCAGCAAATGTGCCATCATACCCTGTCAATATCCTCTGAAACATATTTTAAGGAACTTGATCAAGACCCAGGCTCTCAGATGCTTCCTTGCCTGTCCCAGTGACCAGATGTCTCAGGCATCAGGACTCAGGCAGATGCTGAATCTCTCACTTCTCATTTAAGGTTCTATTATCTCCCATAACTGAATGAAGTTTGGACCTGTCTCTATGGAGGCAGGATCCAGCAAATGTACAAGTGAGTTGTGCCAAAGTACATTCATATTCCTCTGTCCTTCCAGTTCAGTTAATTAAACCATGGAGTAACCAGGAAATCCAGAGTTTCCTGGAAGAATGGGAATTTCTTGGGTGTGAAGTATTCAGGGTGAAGAAGAAGAAGTATCACATAGTATCAAAAATATTTGCCCAGCGTCTCAAGCAGAGGGGTATGAAGAAGAGCTGGCAAGAATGTCTCCAGATGCTGATAAGCTTGCAGGACTTATACTTCACTATTCATGAGGCCAACCAGAAGCCAAGGTGCCAACCCTTGCCATGTCCTTATGGAAAGGCCCTGCATAGGATTCTGGGATGGAAGATCGGCGTCTTCTCAGGTTTGTGTCTTCTGTATTTGCCTCCATGTTCCTTTAGTGAGCGGCATTGGCTTCCCCCACCCCACCCTACCATCCGTGTGCCCTAAGTAGGGCAGAGAAAGAAGGCACAGGGCCCTACCCAGAGTCCCTTGGCACACAGCACAGGGGCCTTGCTGCTCTGATGGGTTGCCTGCCTCTATTTTTCCTTTTTGTTCTTCCCCAAAGTAATAATCCTGAGGACTTTGTTCATGGACTTGTTTGGAATGGACATGGCTCCAGGGCTGGGTGAGATCAAAAGCAAGGATTCAAGGACAGGATGGGTGATGTCCTCATTAGCCCTCCATGTGCCTTCTCTCTCTCAGGTCCTCCCTGTGCAGATGTGGCTGACTTTGTACGTTGCGAGCACCAGCCCCAGGCCTATGGCGTTCCTGTAGTCTTACAGGACCTGATCTGGGACCCAACACCTGTGATCTATGGAGAAAATCTTCAGGTACCTGGATGGGAGTCCTGGAACATGAACCTGTCATGGTCAGTTCCACATGTGTATCCTGCTTTTCCCTCAGCAGCCCCGGGTCCCTCACCACAGTGGGCCATCTCTACTGACTGATCCAGATCTTGAAGACAATTAGAATCTGGATCCTGATTCCATCGGAAAGACTGAAAAATAGCACAATATGTGTGTGTTGGTGCATGACTCCTTCCTCTTCTCTCCTGGTGTAATGAGAATAAATGTGAAATAAATGAATGACCATGACCTCATCCCTTTTGGCCTTGTGCTTATGGCTTGGGTTGAACCCCCAATTGTAGAAGGGCCACAGGACGAGGAGGGAGCTCAGCCTCACTGGTGACTTGGGACCTGTTCTCTCTTTCCTGCATCATGCTTCCTGCATGGAGGCTCCTTTGCAATAAGGGGCAATGTTTACCCCAGAGATAACTGCTTAATCCTGCCTTCATTGCCTGGCTGTGTGATCATAGAATTTTTATTTCACGTTTCTGAACCTCCAGATCCTCCTATTAAAATTGAATTCAAGCTGATATTTCTTACTTCAGGAGATAGTTTTAGGATAAAAACACATACGTGGCATAATCACCGTGGGTTAAGCTCATTTTTCCACATTTCTTGGTGGTCTTCTTTTCTAAGGAAATGTATTATTTGAGATAATTATAGTTTTATGTGCATTTGTAACAAATAGTACAGAGGGACTCCAGAGAGATCCTTTAAGCCCCATGTCCAGGTCCCCCCAGTGGTAACAGCTCAGAAAGCACAATATAACCAGGATATTGAAATTGATACAGTCAAGAGAGTCACCAGAGTAAACTCTCACTGCCCTTTTTATGAGGGACATACACGTCCCTTCTGCCCTCAGCTCCTCCTTAATTTCTGACAACCACTGAAATGCTGTTCCTCTTAATAAATTTGTTGTTTCAACAATGTTATATAAATGGAATTGTACAGTATTTAGCCTTTTGGTATTAGGTTTTTTCAGTTACTCATTAGAGATTCCTCCAGGTTGTTACATGGATCAAACGTTCATTCCTTTTTCTTGCCGAGTAATGTTTCACTGTGTGGATGTACCGGAATTTGTTGAACCATTCGCTTATTGAAATGACATCTGGGCTGTTTCCATTTTTGGCTATTGTGAATAAAACTACTACAAACCTCCAGAAACAGGTTTTTGTGTAAGCACAAGACTTCATTTGGGATAAACATTCAGGGGTTAGAATTTCTGGGTATATAATAACTGCATGTTTAATTTTTTTTTTTTTTTTTTTTTTTTTTGAGCTGGAGTCTCACTCTGTCACCCAGGCTAGAGGACAGTGATGAGATTTCAGCTCACTACAACCACTGCCTCCAGGGTTGAAGCGACTCACCTGCCTCAGCCTCCCTAGTAGCTGGATTGCCAGGAGCCCACCCCTGCACTTAGCTAATTTTTGTATTTTTAGTGGAGACACGGTTTCACCATATTGGCCAGGCTAGTCTCAAACTCTTGACCTCGGGTGATTCACCTGCCTCTGCCTCCCAAAGTGCTGGGATTACTGGCATGAGCCACCAAGCCCAGCCTAAATTTTTTTTTTTCAAACTGCCAAACTGTTTACCAGATGGCTGTGTCATTCTACATCCCTACCAGCAATGTATGAGTGAAACAGTTTCTCCACATCTTCACCAGCATTTTGTTTTGTCACGATTAGTGAAAAGGCGAATAGAATGGCCTTCAGAGTGCCCAGCACAGGGGGCCTGAGCAGAACTTAGAACGATGGGACTGGCCTCTGTCCAGTGCCCATCTGTATAGCATCGCAAAGCACTCATATCTAACTATGGCTTCCATTTTCAGCTCCCTAATGGCTGATATGGAATATGTATGTTTATTTTCCAACTGCATATTCTCTGCAGTGACATGGCTTTCCCTGGTTTTGCCCATTTTCTAATTGGATTTTTGTTTTTACTTTTACTGTTTGGGAGTTCTTTATATGTTCTAAATATTAGTTTTATGGGATATTGGTTTTGCAAGTATTTTCTCCCTGTTTGTAGCTTGCCTTTTCATCCTCTTCTTACGGGCCTACAGGGAGAAAAGACTTTGTGAGGTACAACTTAGCAAAATTTTAATGGGTAGTGCTTTGGGTGTCAAACCTAAGAACCTTTTGGTTAGTCATAGATCCTGATGACCTTTCCCTATATTTTTCTAAAAGTTTTATAGTTTTACATTTTGCATTTAAGTCCCTGGTACATTTGAGTTAAATTGTTTGTGAAGGTTTATGAAGTTTAGGTTAAGGTTCATTTTGTGTGTATGTGCCTGTGAATGCCCAGTTGCTCCAGTACCATTTTCTGAAGAGGCTATCTTTTCTCCATTGAATTTCTTTTGCATTTCTGTAACAAATCATGTGAGCATATTTGTGTGGTTCTGGTCATGGGTTCTCTATCTTGTTCCACTGGTCTACACTCCGCTAATATCACACACTCTTGCTTACTATAGCTGTATAAGTTATTAAATCCTGTAAATTCATTCTTCTTACTTTGCTCTTTGATTGATTTTTTTAAACATTGAACCAGCCTCGTATCTCTGGAGTACATCAATTGTTCATCACATAATTTTTTCATATATGACTGACATATTTAGTAATGTTTTATGAATGATTTCTCCATCAGTATTCAAGAAGGATGGTGTCTGGCAGTTTTTTTTTTTTGTACTGTGTCTGATACCAGGATAATACGAGTTTCATAAAGTAAATAAGCCAAGTGAAATAATCCAGATACAGGAAGACAAATGCTGCATGATCTCACTTATATGTGGACTCTAAAATAGTCAAACTCATAGAAGAGAGTAGCATGGTGATTGCAAGGGGCTGGAGGGAGGGAGAAATGGGGAAATGGGGTGATGTTGGTCATGCGTGTCGAGATGAGTGTAAAGTTTCAGTTATTCAAGATGAATAAGTTCTGGCAATGGAATATACAGCATGGTGACTATAGTTAACACTATTGTACTTTATACCTGAAATGTGTTTAGCGGGTAGATCTTAAGTGCTCTCATCTTACACACACACACACACACACACACAAAAGTTAACTATGTGAGGTAATAAATATGTTAACTGACTTGACTGTGGTGCTCATTGCACAATACATATACATGTATAAAAAATCAACTTTTAAAATCAATACCATTTTTATCTGTCAATTATACTTGAATAAAGCTGAATAAAAAGACTACAGTCACCATTATGAATGCTGGTAAAAACACAACAAAATTATTTTGGTTAAGCTATTTTTGCTATGCTTGAAGATAAAATTGGACACAGAAAAACCTAACTAAACTAAATATCTAAAGCTATAGAAAGTGCTTCTGTAAATAGAGAAGAGAGAATAAAGCCTTTGAGAGTAAACTATATGCAGAAATCTGAAGACAAAAATCAAACATTGCAGGAGGATACTTCTGCTCGGATTATTTCCTTAAAACTTTGAAACACAGATTCAGAAGACATCCTTCCATTGATAAAATAGTGTCAATCGGAGAAGATCCAAGATGGCCAATTAGACACAACTCCAGTGCACAACATCCAGCGAGAGAGACCCAGAAATCCAGAGATGTCCTAGGTCCAACTAAGGTATCAGGTGCATTTCAGTGGGTCTGGTCCAACAGTGAGCAAAGCCCACTCAGGGCAGACCAAGGCGGGGAGGGGTGCTGCTTCACCCAGAAAGTGCATCTGACCAGCGAGTCAGAGGCTCCCTCTCTGGTGCTCTGGCCCAGATACAGTGCTTCCCCTAAAGCCTCAGCAATACACAGAACAGGGGATCTTTGCCAGTCAAGTACCAGGAATTACAAGCATGGAGTTGAATAAGAGCCTGCAGACTGAGCTATCGCCCCCTTCCCTGACCCGGAGAGACAGGGAGCTGTAAGCGGGAGCACCTGGGTGGGCCCCTACCCCCCATGACCGGAGAGAGAGGAAGCTGAAAGTGGGAGACAGCCGGTGTGGCTGGGCGGGTCCCTATCCTCCCACACAAACCCCAGAGCGCTGAAGCTTTGACTCTAGTGGGTCGTGCAGCCAGCGCCACAGTCTGAGATGAACCCCAAATGATCCAGCCCAGTGGAGGAAGCACACAACCCACCACTAGAGGGGTGGGACTGGGCTACATATTTTAATAAAAAACACAGGAAGCCTACATAGCAACAGGATGGTGTTCTTGACAACTCAGCAGTGCCTACAGGTCAGTGGCAGAGGCAGGCCTAATCTCCTAATATAAACAAAAAAGACACAAGAAGCTTCCCTAGTAACCTGAAGGAGTCCCTGGAAACCCAGTAGCGCCTCCACAGTCAGACAAGTGACCACATCAAGCAGCTCCCTGACACCACAGTCAGGTAAATCCACAAAGATGGGGAAAAACCAGCACAAAAAAGATGAAACCTTCAAAAACCAGAACACCTCTTCTCCTCCAAGGAATCACAACTCCACAACAACACAGGATCACAACTTGACTGAGAAGTGCGACAAATTGACAGAAACAGGCTTCAGAAGGTGAATAATAACAAACTTTTCTGAGCTAAAGGAACATGTTCTAACTCAATGCAATGAAACCAAAAACCTTGAAAAAACGTTAGACGAAATGCTAACTAGAATAATCAGCTTAGAGAAGAACATAAACGACTTGGTGGAGTTGAAAAACACAGCAGGAGAACTATGTGAAGCAAACACAAGTTTTAATAGCAGAATCGATCAAGCAGAAGAAAGGATATCAGCGATTGAAGATCAATTCAATGAAATAAAAAGAGAAGGCAAGACAAGTGAAAAGAAATGAGCAAAGCCTCCAAGAAATATGGGATTATGTGAAAAGACCTAACCTATGCTTGATTGGGTGTACCTGAATAAGTATGGGGAGAATGAATCCAAGCTGGGAAACACATTCCAGGGAACTTCACAAGCCTAGCAAGGCAGTCCAAATTTCAAATTCAAGAAATACAGAGAACTCCACAAAGATATTTCACAAGAAGAGCAACCCCAAGGCACATAATCGTCAGATTCATCAAGGTTGAAATGAAGGAAAAAATGCTAAGGGCAGCCAGAGAGAAAGGTTAGGTCACCCAGAGAGGGAAGCCAATCAGACTCATAGCAGATCTCTGGGCAGAAACCCTATAAACCAGAAGAGAGTGGGGCCAATATTCGACATCCTTAAAGAAAAGAACTTTCAACCCAGAATCTCATATCCAGCCAAACTAAGCTTCGTAAGTAAGGAGAAATAAAATCCTCTATGGACAAGCAATTATTGAGAGATTTTGTCACCACCAGACCTGCCCTACAAGAGCTCCTGAAAGAAACACTAAGCACAGAAAGGAACAAGTACCAGTCGCTGCAAAAGCAAACCATCTGGCAAAGACCAAAAATGCAGTGAAGAAAATGAGCCAACTAATGGGAAAGAAAACCAGCCAGTAACAAAATGGCAGGATCAAATCCACACATAACAATATTAACATTGAATGTAAATGGCCTAAATGCCCCAATCAAAAGATGCAGGCTGGCAAACTGGATACAAAGTCAGAACCCATTGGTGTGCTGTATTCAGGAAACCCATCTCACATACAGAGACACACA